TAAAGGAATTCTGTTCCCCCAAATGTTGCCATCCACAAAACTCAGAAAAACCCCTGAAGCTAAGACCTGGACAAAGCTTTTCTGAGCACGTTCCCCACCTATCACGCCCACTGCCTAACTGTAATTTCACACACGCAAATGGTTCCTTTCCACGTCCACTGTCCCCTACTCATGAAAGTGCTTTTGCTGGCATAGGAAGGTAGGTTTCACTGAGAAAGACTGGTAAATAACCAAGATGAACTGCGGGTCAGAGACTCTACAAAATATATCTGACACGCTGTACCTGTTCTCAGCAAATTACTAGCACAGCCTAATGCAACACCGGATCTATAAATAGTACAAGGTGCCAATTGTGGGAACTGAAGGACATGTGCTTTGGCCTAATGAGGAGAGGCTTCCGGGAAAAGATGGACTGATTATTTCTCCCCGAACTAGGCTATTGATAGGCAGCACCCATGAGTTCCATTACGTTGCATTTATAGAGCTTAGACTTTAAAAACAAAGAGAGAGTACACCTGAAGCGAATATAATATTGTATATCAACTGTCACTGGAAAATAAATGTTTTTAAAAGTTGTACTCTCCAAACCCTTCCCTACTTTAAAGCTGATAATACAGACACAAAATTAATAATAATAATAGTGTCATCATGGAAGAGAAGGGACCCTGAACTTTCAGAAATCTGCTAATGTCATTCATTTCACCAGGGATCTTTTACCATCGCCACTGGTTTAACTCTACTCAGTGCTTCAAGGCCCAAATAAATTCTGCCTCATTTATACAACTTTTCCTGTGGCCTTCAATGGGCGTGCTCTCTCTCTTCTCAACGTGTACAGCTTTATTTCCTCTTGGGACATTAGTCTCATCTGTCTGATAAAGTATTTGGGTACATGGCATCTTCACCAGGCTCTGAATTACATACAGGGAAGATCTAAGTTTTACTATTGCATCCAACAAGTAACCAGCTTGGTGCTTGACACACAGTAGGTGTTCAACAAACATGCAGAATTGAAGGGGAAAGTTAGTTTGCTAGATTGTTAGGCCATTTCTAATCTGTATGATCTAGAATGGAAAGGCTGCAGAACAGATGTTAAATATCTGAATACAATATAATATCGCTATGTTATCACACTCCTGCCACAGGGCCTTTGCACTTGCTGTTTCCTCTGCCTGAAAGCCTTTTCTTGAGAGAAACATTTAGTTCTTTCCTGCATCTCCTGCTGATCTTTGCTCAAATGTTATCTTGTCTGTCTATCCTATTTAAAATTTCAACACCCCCCTGCTATGGTTTGAACATATGTGTCCCTGCAAAATTCGTATGTTGAAATCCTAACCACCAAGGTGATAGTATTAGGAAGTGGAGCCTTTGGGAGATGCTTAGGCCATGAGGGTATAAACGGGGATCATGAGAGTCATAAATGGGATTAGTGCCTTACGAAAGAGACCCACAGAGCCCCCTAGCTCCTTCCACCATGTGAGGATAGAATCTGAAGTCTGCAACAAGGAGAAGGCCCTCGCCTGACCATCCTGACACCCTGATCTCAGACTTCCAGCCTTCAGAACAGTGAGAAATAAGTTTATATTGTTTATATTGGTATTTTGTTATAGCAGCTTGAATGGACTAAGACACACACATACACACACACACACACACCCAGCAACTCCCTATCCCTTTTTCTAAATTAGTTTTCTGTATATCACTGATCGTCATTTAATGTACTGCCTAGTTTACTTTTGAATTTTTATTTTTTCTTCCCCACCTCCTATCCTAGAATGTAAATTCTATGAAGCAGAGAGCTTTATAAATTGTATTTCCTCCTTTACCCACTAATGCTTAGAAAAGTCCCTGGCAGATTAACCACAAGATAGATACTCATTAAATAGCTTTGGAATGAATTTTTAAAATGAATCATAAAGCAATTATAAAACAACTACTTCTACTTGGCACTGATCTTATTTAAGATAACTGCTAGCCCAGCCGGGCGTGGCTCAGCGGTTGAGTGTCGACCTAGGATCCCGGCGATTGGGGTCCAATTCCTGGTCGGGGCACATGCCCAGGTTGCGGGCTCGATCCCTAGTTGGGGATGTATAGGGGGCAGTCGATTAATGACTCTCTCATCAGTGATGTTTCTATCTCTCTCTCTCCGTCTCCTTTCCTCTCTCTGAAATCAATAAAGACATATTTAAAAATAAGAAGAAGAAGACAAGAAACACCACCTGATCAAATACTCGCAGCCCAGTGTGTCTGCACAGTAAGGGGGCAAGCAATGCATGCAAGAGCAGAGCTGGTGTCTCCCCTGATGCCATCACCAAAGGGTAGGACCACCTTCAGACTTCCATACCTTCACCCTTAACAAGACTAGAACCCCTAGGTGGTTGAATGGCTACACTATAAGGAACTGATGATACATGATAAGGGAGTTCAGACACGGAAGAAGTCATTTGACAGACATCACTCCAAGGAGAAGTGTGCTAGTCAATTCCTGAGACATCCCCTAGGTCTCCAGTCTTTCAGGCACTCACATCCTTGTGTGGTCTCCTGTCACAGTGAATCAGGGCTGCCCTGTGGAGCTGACAGAAAACTTCCAGAGCTAGGTCAGAAAAGGTATGTCAGCTCCAGCCTTGGTCTCTCGGATCCCTCACTCCTTGCAAGGCAGCTGTGCCCACCACTACACCACCAGCGCATCCCTCACTCTTTGGGAAGCCAGCTGGCATGCTGCAGTGACTCTCAAGAAGCCCCATGGAGAGGACCACATGGAGAAGAACCAATTCACCAGCATCAAATTGCCAGCTCTGTGAGTGAGTCCCCTTAGAAGTAGACCTTCTAACCCTGGAGAAGTCTTCAGATGACTGTAGCCTCAGCCAACATCTGATTTCAAGCTCATGGGTGATCCTGATCCAGAACTACCTAACTGAGCCACTCCTGAGTACCTCATCCACAGAAATCATGAGAAATAATAAATGATTATTACTGTTTTCAGCCATCAATTTGGGGAGACTTATTACACAGCGCAGATAACTAATACAAGAGGTACCGGAAATGACATCCACAAAGAAAGCAGGGCTTGAAATAGAGGCATCAAGAAAACTGTAGAGATAATGGGCAAAGCAGAAAGACGAGCATTGGGGAAAACCATGGGCAAAGACAGGTACGAACATTACACGGAAACCACACCCACTCAGAACCTCAGGATGGGAACAAATCTAAAGGACATTAGTCCAACCTTTCATCTAACGCTAAAGTCCATTCTTAAAATAATAAAACGAAGGCAGGGATCGCATGAATTTATCTAAGCTGACACCCGGAGGAAGACCTAACTGCCTATAATTCTCCTCCATGTGGTGATATAAATGAGGAGCATTCAGCTGCAACAGAGAACACATTCCTGAGTTTGGACCAAGGTCACTCCTGAGGGTGATTTAATAAGAACTGAGGGAGGAGGAAGACGGAGAGCAGGAGACGGGGAGGAGGGAGGAAAGGGGGGGAGAAGCCGAAGAAACAGAAGCAGGAGACCGAAAAAGGAGAAACAACAACAGTCATAACAGCTCTACACAACAGAAGGAGGGAGAGCGGAGGAGACAAGAAAGGAAAAACCGATTTATCAAAGTGCTATGTGGTGGGCATTGTCCTAAGTGCCTTAAACACACCATCTCGTTTTACCTTTGCCACCACTCGAATTCTTTTAGTTCTATTTCCTCCTTCCTTCCCAAGGGACTTCCTTCCCCTCGCCCCATTCCCCTGGTTGAGGTACAGAAAGTAAACAACTGCAGGCAAGAAAGATTAAGTCATCATGCACCTAACCTCCTGTCAGGAACAATCTGAGCACATAGTTAAGGCCCCAGCAGGGTCCAGCCAAGAAAGAAGCCACTCACAGATCTGGGGCATTCCCTCGCCTAAGGATATAAGGTCAAATTTCCTGGACTACTGATCAGTACACCTCTACTCAAAGGAAGACCATATCTGAGATGAAAAAGAGAAAAACCTACAGCAGTCTCTGTCCCAAGAAATGCTGTTTTACTGGTCCCACAGCCGGTGCTTTTAGAGGCCAGTAGTAGATCTCAGAAGCCCAAAGGAGGAAGGATTTTAACCCAAAGGTAACACCCTATTTCAAGAAGAAGATACAAGTATTTGCTTTTAACCAAAGGGAAGCATGAGGGAACTTGTCCTGCAGGGAGTCGCTTTCCAAAGATTCTGCCATATACGCAGTGGTATGAGGCGTGAAGGGGGACACCCAGGTCAAGCCAGAGGAGGTGGGGTTAGTGACCATTCCTTGCTACGCCATCCTCCAGTGAGAAGAAGACATATGCTGGATGAGGATTAGAGAATAGTTTCTAAAACTTACTCAAGGTACTGAAACAGCTGGTTGTACTTCCAAGAAAACAAAACATAGAAAATTAACTTTAAAAGGCATATATACCTTAGAGAGTTTGGAAGATAGGGCATACACCAATTAAAGGCCTATAGAGTAGTGGTCTTCTCTAGGACCAGGAAATCTAGACCTTTAGCAAATACCAACGCAATGGCATTGATGATGGACATGAAAGGGTCACCATCAAGAAAGTCTAGGAATGATCACCAAGATCCCATATACATGGGATGTCAACAGAACATGCTGGAAGTGGACTGAGAGGATGCCCAAGAAGCTTCTATGGAGAAAAGCAGTTATGAAAATTCTTTCTTATAAAAAATGACATGAGCTCTTGGAACAATGGACTTACAAGAATTATCAACTGGGCAGGACACCCTGGTTTGCAAAAGGATGTTTTGCTGCCCGATCCACAGAGTCAGAGAAAGCAAATACCATCACTCAGTTATAGTGAGTTCCCGGAGTACAGTCTGGGGTAAAGAAATTTGCCCTGTGCCTCTTTGCATTTCCCCGAACCCGGGCACAAGGCTGTACAGAGTTAAGTCTGTGGCTGACGTGGGTGTTGACAATACTATAACACACACTCCACACCCTCACGGAGTCAGAGGTGCCGAGGCCCCTGCTCTGCCTTTACCGTCATTGAAGCTGTCGCTGGAGGTGACGTGGGTGAATGGTGACTGGGCCCGCGGCTCCTCGCACAGAGAGTAGCTATGCTCGGCCTGGATGAGAGGCGCCGGGGACGTTGGGGACGGCTCCACCTCCATCGACACAGTCTTCTCTGAGAGGAAAGGGTCATTCAGGAGCTGGCCCAAGACGTTCTGGGAAAACTCATCCAGAAGTTCCGAGAAGTGCTGCAAGAACAAAGGAGGGAGGACTCAGTTTCTCTTAACCACAATCTGATATCTACACAGAAGTTCACAAGCAAGTATATCACCCAGGGCTTTAAATGAAGCCGCTCAGATACAACGTCCAGGTCTCTATGGCTGCGCAGCCACTACCCCAAAGTTTTAGTGGCTTAAAATATCCACAGTTTATTATTTCTCAGCACTTGGTGGGGCGGCTGGGTGGCTGAGCTGACTTCTTCTGGGTTCCTCGATAGAACTGTAGTGAGCTAGATGGCTGGCTGGGGGGCCGGGCTGGGCTGGGACACCTGGGCCTTTTGCTCAGAGGCTTTTTCAGGCTGGGATTGCTCACAGGGTATAGAAATATTCCAAGAGGTAGCAAAACAAAGCTGAATGCCCTCAGGAGTCACTCCTTCCACATTCTTTTGGTCAAGGCAAGTGACAAGGCCAGCCCTGATTCAGGGGGTGGGGAAGATAGATTCCTCTCTTGACAAGAGGAATGGCAAAGTCACCTTGTAAAGGAGTGTAGACAGAGAGGTTAGCATGACTCACGGTGGGGCCGTCACTGTAACTACCTACCACGATCTGCACTGGGGATATTTTTAAATGGTTATCCTGTTATTTATAGCAAAGCGACAAGTTCAAAGGCATCTGAGGCAGCTCCCCACCACCTGCACTCTGATCCTCTCCGGTTTTCCTTAATTTCCTTAATTCCTCCATCTCCAGCACCACCAACTCCCTAGCCCCCACCACACCGTGAAGGTGATACAGGGATAATCTGTACCTATATTCACAGGGACTCGTGCATCCCTTGTTTCACTGTCTCAGGCTGAAGAAGCTGCAGCCCCATCCACTCTCCCTCACTCATAGGGGGATGCTCGTGGCATGAGATCTGTGGAGCAGGAGCCCATGACCTGGGCACCATTGACAATGGGCTGGATCGCTTTATTATGGGGGTGGGGCTGTTCCATGCATTACAGGATGTTGAATAGGCCTCTACCTGCTCAATGTGAGTAGCACCTCCCTAGTTTTGAAAGTGAAAAAATATCTCCAGACAGTGTCAAATGTCCCTAGGGGGAGCGGGGGGGAATCATCCTTGGTTTAGAACTGCTACTCTAGAGTATATTAAAAATAATCATGATTTAATTCAATTTAAAAGTCCGTTTTGACAGTAGCTGTTAGAGCCACTTCTTTCTTAACGTGCCCTGAGGCACAGACTAACCTGGGTCATCCTTACTGATTAAACTTCAGGGGCGTTTCTGGTGTAGAAAAGAAGTTGCCAAAGCAGACACAGCAGTAAGAGAACTGACTGCAAAGGGTGACACCCGGGGTGGGCAATGAAAACTCTGGGGAGTCACACGCATAAGTCCTACCACTGAGCTGACGTGTCAGTGAGGGAGTTATGAAAACGAATGCAGCCTGGGGAGCGGAAGGCGGGAGGTGGCTCCAAGGTGAGAGCTCCAAGATTAGGGCAGCTGCAGGACAGAACCTCTCCGGTAATAAAGCAGGACAGCAGACAACACACAGGAGGCCCTTGAAGGCCAGGGATCTAGCCTGCAACCGGGGTCCATGCCCTTGACTGGAATCGAACCCGAGATCCTTCAGTCCACAGGCAGGCGCTCTAACTGGCTAGAGCTCTTTTTTTTTGTCTTAAGAAATAAAACATGAAGGGACTGTCAAAACTCCCACCCAATCCTCTCAAAGTTAACAGCTACCCTGAACTTGGTATTTATCATTCCCATCCATACTTTTACTACATGTGTATGTATCCACTGTGTACATATGAATTTTTTAAACTTTAAATAAGTAGTACCATACCTCACACATCTTTCTGCAGCCTTACTCTCTCCAAAAAAAGTGTTTCAGATTTATTCATGTTTATACGTGTAGCTCTAGCTCATTCATTTAAACTTCTGAATTGTATCCCACTGTATCTGTCCATTTTCTCTTGAGCAGTAGAGTATTATTATATATGATACTGTAATAAACATTCTCAAATATGAAGGGACATTTTTTTCAAGTACGAATCCTGTGACCCACCTTCAGAGATTTTGACTTGGTTGGTCAAGGCATCTATATGAAGGCCCCACCACCACCACCTGATTCTAATGCTCACTTAAATTTTTCAACCACTGAAGGTTGACCCCACCTCCACTCACCACCCCTCTCCTCACACCACTGTGGGGTGAAGTCCCTAGACGTATACAGATTCCCTTGAAGATCAGAGGCGCCCAAGTCAGAGGAAGAGGCATGGATTTTGCAGCTCCCACGTGCTAAACTTTAAATAGACACTGGGGAAACAAAAAAAAACAAAGAAGAAAACAGAAAAAGCCCAGGCCTCCCCTGAGCTCACAGCGCAGACAAGTGCTCCTCCAGCATCATGTGCTATGAATCGCCTGGGGGTTTACAGACATAGATGCTGACTCCCAAGTCCAGGGGCCCGAGGTTCTGCTTTTCTAACCAGCCCCGGGGATGCTGCTGGTCTGAAGCTGGGAGCAGAACAGCTTCTGGCTAAGATTAGAACCCAGGTTTCCTTAACTCCAGGATAACCTGAAGTCGGGGTCTGATTCCCTAAGCAGCTCCCCAAAGACAAGTTTACTGGTTCCCTGTTGGTAGACAGTCTGCAAGTGTCTGACGGAGTTCCTTCCAAGACCAAAATGAAGGTAATGAAAAGGGAAAGAAATAGCACAGAATGTAAAATGCAAAAGCAAGAGTTGAACTCACGGTCCCTGCATCCCCAAGCCACAGTTCTGTCCCCTGAGCTACACTGTCAACTCTGGCCAGCTGTGTCGGCCCTGCTAGCCCTCTGGAATCCACTCTGTCCTGAGGCAAGGCTCTTGGATGGCTGAGCTCTCCCATGGAAGATGCCAGGTGGGGCTACTCTGCTGACACTGTTTTCTTTCTCTGGTGCAGCACTAATGAATGTTTCCATGCACATCCCCTAGATAACCAATAATAAACTTTTTCAAACTCTGCCTATGGTCCCTGAATTCCCCTACTTTGCATTTTGTCATAATTACCATGTTACCAAACAATTTAGCCCTAAATGATATCAATCTTGAAGAACTCAGAGGTGTTATCAAATGCATTACGATAATCTCCCCTCTGCAAAAAGAACCTCCTGAAAAAGAGACCAACTGTGCCCAACCACCCTGTAACACCTAGGAACTTAGAGACGTGGGGAGCACTGAGTAGCTCCCAGGGAGACAGTGGTGATGGGACAGATATGCCCAACTAGTCCCAACCAGATGAGGTGACTCAGCCCAGGAACTAGCCCCTGCTGGCTCCCCTTGACAGCTGTGGGCTCCAGGGCTCAGCAGACAAGTCAACATTCCACTGCTGGTGCAGGGACCAGGCCAGAACTGGCCCATCCTTGCCAGGCCGTGAGAGAGGGACATACGGTCTCGGAGCCCCAAAACCAGAGAAAGGAGCAAAGTGAGCTCAAAGGGGGAAGTCTTTCTAGATCCTGCACCAACGTTAGCAAAGGACTACTCACATCAACCCAAGGGTTAAGCAATTTTATTTTTTTAAATATGTTTTTATTGACTTTAGAGAGAGAGGAAGAGAGAAGGAAAGATAGAAACACTGATGAGAAACATTGATCAGCTGGTCCTGCACGCCCCCTACTGGGCGTCAAGCCCACCACCCAGGCATGTGCCCCGACCAGGAATTGAACCAGCGACCTCTTGGTTCATGGGTGGATGCTAAGCCGCTGAGCCACACCGACTGGGCGGGTCCAGCAATATCAGTTGAGTTCTTTCAAGGACATGGCCACAAGAGCATTGGACCATTCTGCCTAACAGTTTAGTCAAGCTTTATGGGTTTACAAAGTACTTTCATAGCTTTCCCGCCCATCAGCGCTCACAGGAATCCCATTGTCCAAGATCTCAGTCACCTACTATTAGGAGACAGAATTTGAACGAGGGTCCACTTATTTCAGATTGACTCAACTTTTCTACATTGTTTCTTGAAGAAAGAAGCACTTGAGCTTCAGAATCCAACCACATGGAGATGCTCTAACAGGTATAAAACTTGATGCGGATACTGGTCATTGGCGATGATGCTGACAGGATCGGGCGCTGGACTCATCTGATGGATTAAGTGCTTGAACATGTAAGACTTTCAGAAAATGAGCTGGGTGCTTCCTATAAGGTAGATATGTCCCCATTGACAGATGGGGAAACTGGGGCTCAGAGTAGGTAGGTACATTGCCTGGGGTTGGGGTTGCACAACTGGAAAAGGTAGAATTGAGATTCCATCCCAAGTCTAGCCGGTTCCCAAGCCCACACAGACATACTGACAGTCCATCCACTCATCCACTACGAACACATAGTCTTCCACATTTGAAGTGCAGAAACGCGCTAGGGGGTGTCAGATGGAGAGGCTCCCAGTATCGCCTACGTGGCACCTTGGCAACACGGATGAATATATTTACTTGCCTCTAGTGCCTGGTTCTGCCAACGGGTTCAACATAGTATCACGGAATCTCCGGGTTGGAAGAAACCTCCTGACGGGTAAGCCTCAGCCTCATGACATAAATGTTCCTCGCCCGCCTCAGTGAAGACGCTTGGTAACTTCCTTTAACAATCAGTGTCAAGGTCTCATCTCCCCATTATTAAACACCCACCATTCAGTAGCCTCCGACCTGGCCCAACCATCCTGCAAAGTCTTGTCTCCCTTTATTTTAACACGATGCTTTCATTCCAACCCTACCTGATACTTTCATCCCAACCCTAATGGAATTCCTTATGACACTGTAGCAATATAGCTTTGGAGACAAACAGCCCTGAACTTGAATCCTAGCTCCAGCTGTGCAAACCTCCAGCTGCGCAAGAGCCTTCAGTGGTCGAAACTTCAGGTGGCTCCGCCTGTAAAGTGAGGATAACAATAGTACCAGCTTCCTGCTGCGCAGATTAAATTAAATACTGCATGTAACGCACCTAACACTTTGCTGGCATAACAATTTTTTTAAAAAGCTCTTCAAAAACACAAAACCCTATCACAATGAA